TCTGAGTTCACACATGCGTGTGGAGCAAGTGTGTAGAGACAGCGTCCTGGACATCTCTCACCTGGATTTGCTCATTCGACAAGTAAATAGGACCTAGTATCCAAAGTTCTAGTACACATAACATGACGTTTTGAATCATCTGAGAAAGATAGTTTGCTTTTAATAGAAAAAGGAAAAAATGAAAAACTTGTTTTTTCTATATTTAAAAAGAGCATAAGCTGGGCACGGTGGCTCACGCGTATAATCCTAGCACTTTGGGAGGCTGAGGAAGGCGGATTGCCTGACCTCAGGAGTTAGAGATCAGCTTGGGCAACATGCTGAAACCCTGTCTCTACTAAAATATGAAAATTAGCTGGGCTTGGTGGCGGGCACCTGTAGTCCCAGCTACTCAGGAGGCTGAGGCATGAGAATTGCTTGAACCTGAGAGGTGGAGGTTGCAGTGAGCCAAGACTGTGCCACTGCACTCCAGCCTGAGTGACCAAGTGAAACTTCTCTCAAAATAAATAAATGAATAGAGCATAGCTGTTCAACCAAGAGGAAAAATTAAATAATTGTCCACACCATGCATGTAAACTCACACCGATTGAAGTGGCAACATTTGCTTTGAATATTTGAATATTTTATCAGCTTTTCTTAAGGTACACTCATGTATCAGAATTATCTGGGATGTTTCCAAAAAATGTGGATTTCTGAGTCCCACCCAGGAGTAGACAACCATATTAAATACTCCTTCATCTGAGGGTGGCTGTATCTCAGAAATCTTCATTATAACAAACCCTCCAACTAACTGCTTTGCCTATGAAACTTTAGAACCACTGTGTTCAGACAAGGCCTTCACTTCATATTAACTAATGAAATGAAAAAAAATTCACGCCTAAATTTCCCTAGTGCATACATTTCTTCTATGCAGTCATTGAGCCATTCCAAGCTCTGGAAGTTGAGTTAATTATTTCAACATTTAAAAAAAAAAAATTAGGCCAGGCACAGTGGCTCATGTCTGTAATCCCAGCACCTTGGGAGGCCGAGTTGGGCTGATCACCTGAGACCAGGAGTTTGAAACCAGCCTGGCCAACATGGCAAAACCCCATCTGTACTAAAAATAAAGTAAAATAAAAAATTAGCCGGGTGGGCACCTGTAATCCCAGCTACTCAGGAGGCTAAGATAGGAGAATCCTTGAACCCAAGAGGCCAAGGTTGTAGTGAGTCAAGATTGTACCACTGCACTCCAGCCTGGACAAGAGTGAGAATCTGTCTCAAAACAAAACAAAACAAAACAAAACAAAACACACAAAACATTTTTACAAAATTGACTTTAAGACCTCAGAGCTCTGTTATGACCACTTGAAATCTGGCTACTGCTACTGAGGAACTGAGTTTTTAAAATACACGTAAATAACACATGGGCTGGTGGCAACCATGTTGGGTAGTACAGACACTGATCATTTCCGTCATCATTTCTGTCCCCTCAAGAGCCCTGCCTTCGAGAACAGACCTGTGGCACCCGGTGCTGCCCAGCTGATCTGAGAGCGCCTGGGTGTGTGTGAAGTCCCTTGGCTTCTTTGCAGGAAACCCGCTAGAGTAAAACGAAGGATTACTCACTTGCACTGTATTTTATTTACACGCGAGACAAGTATGACTGCATCGTGTTTATGGACAAAACAGACATTGTCATCAGAAGGTTTATAGATGAAATGCAAGTGCTCCTTTTCCGTTGTATTTTTCAGTTCTAGAAGTCTCGCGTGCTTCCTTTCCAACTGTTTTTGCTTCTCCATTGATATTCCCACAGGTCCCACCATACTTTCACTTTAATCTTTCAGCCTGTTGATGGTGGTTATATTAAAGTCCATCACCCTTACCATTTCCAGTCCGTTTCTTTTGACTGAGTTTTCTCCTCACACTTTTCTCACCTTTCCTTGCTTCTCTGTACACCTGGCAAGTTTTTATTACATGCTGGACATAGTGGGTGCCACACTGTGGAATATCGGTGTTTCCTTGGCCTCACTCGAAGAGTATTGAATTCAATTGCAGCAGGCAGTTCCTTTGCCTGCAGACTGACCTGACCCTCTTAAGGCTCGATTTTAAGCTCAGTTAGTGGACGCCTAGGGTAGTCTTGACTCTAGGGCTAAGTAACCTTATTCCTAAAGCATGTCTGCTCCAGGATATGAGCTGAGCGCCTGGTGCTTGATGAGGTCTCTCCACACTGGTGGGTTGGTCCTCATTGTCTTCCAGCCAAGTATCAGTTCTGGAACTTCTACTCAGCTCATCTCCCTGGTCGTCGGCCTTTGCCTGCTGTTTTGGAGTCTTGCCTTAGCAGATAGAGCTAAGTATTCAAAGATGGCAGCAGGCCTCCCTGTGGATCTCTGAAGCGTCTTCTCTGGGCCTCCAGCTCCACTGCATCGCCTATGCTTCTCAACTCAGCACGACGGCCTTGTCCCACCCGGGCTCCGCTGGGCCCCGCCTTGGGACGTCTCGGGGCAGGACACTGGGCAATCCTGGGGCTCATCTCATTTACTGCCCTTCATTCAGGGAGCACAGGCCTGCGCTCTTACTGTCCAGCGTCTGAAAACACTCATTTCATACGTTTTGTCCGACTTTATGGATTTTTAACAGCAGAAGGTCTAGTTTGATACTAATTTCATTGTGACCAGAAGTAGAAATGCACAATGGAAATTAAGCGTCATAGCTAAAAGAGCAGTGAGAATTTTTTAAACATTTAAACAGTAGACCTCCCACTCAGAGAAATTTGCCTAAGAGGACGTAGTCCAGATAAAGTCAAATATACCTAAGAAGAGACGGTTTTCAGAATTTAACAGACCAGTAACTTGTTACATAATTTCGCCAAATTCTGGACACATATCACTATCCATATGAAATGAAATCAGAAGAGGGACCTTGTCCTGGCATGAAGACAGCCAATGGGACTACAAAGCAAGAGCTATGGGTTCTTCTGGATCCAGGGCACCTGCTTTACAACTTAGACTAGCACTTAGCTCCCTAACTTTGTGCCACGGCACGCTGGGACCTCACAGCAAACTCACAGGGGTGCCAACAGCGTTGATCTTTTCAGCGTTCAAGGGAAGCACAGTGGTAACTGTCGTGTGTGGACACCACACAAACTAGTAGCCCGATGTGGTTCACGGTTCCACGTTAGACAGGGCCACATCCCTCACGGCGGCCTTGTCTCTGTGAATCTGGCTTCTGACAGTTGCTGCAATAAAAGAGCAAGTACCCCACAAAAATCAAAGGAGCACCTGGTACGAAGTTGGCAGCAGCAAAACCTGCTTCCAGTGGCGGGAACACGCATGCCATGAGTAAGAAATCATGACTATCGAAGAACGTAATTAAAACCTCACTCTTCGCTCTCTTTGGAATTCCTGGGGGAGAAAAGAAGATTATTTACCCTGAAGAGTTTCCCATGGTCTAGGCTGCTGATTGCATTCGTGGTGTCATTGACCATTCCCTCGTCCGTGAGTTTTCTGGAAACCGACAGTTGGACTCAGAGTCCTGATGCCGTTCAGGTTTGATTTGGGGGAAAGGGAAGCAGCGTGACTTCCGGGAGTTGGCGCCATGGAGGGTTAATGCGTGGATCCATTCGTTAATCAGGAGATACGAAATACTTTTTAGAATTCTATCATTACTATAACGTAGTAGCTATAATGCTTCTACAGAGGAAAAAATATGTCTTCTTGACTGTTAGGTGACCCAGGGGTAGAGTTAGTGCAGAAAGCCAGCGTGCACATGCTACAGTCTTTCCCTTTATTTGCCAGTTTTCAAAATAGCGAGTTGGTTCCTTATATGCACTTCATTTTGTGCATTTAGAAACATTACCCTGAGAAGGGGTTCCAGGGCTTCACCAGAGTGTCAAAGGGACTGATATCACAAAACAGTTAGGAACTCCCATTTTAGACTATCCCAGGAGTCACAGAGGTCAATACGACATCTTGGGCTTACAAAAAGGATGTCAATTTTAAGCCATGACCTGACTTAAGATTAAGTAAATCAAATTTGCTTTCGGACTTTTACCAATGTCAGCCTTCCGAGAGCCCACTGCTGTTCAGCCTCTTCTCTTGTAAGACCCACTGGAGCTCGGAAGCAATTCCAAGTGGTCACCACTTCCTTTGCCTCCACAGCACTCAGTCTTTGCATCTTGCTGGCCGGTGAAGCTCCGCCTGAGCTGTGCTGTGATCTACATCACATGCAGACCCTTCAGTGGTAGCTGTGGTGGAGGGGCACTGATCTGAAGTGAGATGATCTCATTCAAATGTTGACTATGCTACTTACTCGCTTTGTAAACATAAAGCAAATTGCTTCACATCTTTGAGCTGGTTTCTTCAAATGGAAAACGGCAAAAATGATACGTAACGTGAAGGACTGTTTCGAGAACTAAAAAAGGAAACATTCTTGAAAGATTGAGACATTAGAAGTTCTCAGCAAATATGTGTTAAATCTGACTCTCCACTCCAAAATGCAGGGGATTTGTTCATCCGATCTTTGATACTGGCCATAGTAGTAAAGGAAAAAAATCTATTGCACTGTGAGATAGTCCCAACTTAGGAATGTAAGCGATAACACATTCCCACCCCTTCCAGCAAACTCTCTCCCTCCTTTCCTCCCTCTCCTTCCTTCCTTTCTTCTTCTTTTAGAGTTGCGTGATTCCAAAGTGCTCCTGAGAGCGCGCTGCGCTCCACTCACAGCGCACTCATCTTCCCTGGGCTGAATGAGGCCGCCCCAGTGAAGACATTCCGTGCAGTTGGCTTCTCACTACCCTGGCTTGTAATGGCCACCTTGGGCTCTAGCCCCTAGCCCAGTAGCTTCCGTACCATGTCAGCCACCCCTACACGATCAGGATCCATTCCATTCGGTTAGTCTGAAAAACCGGTGATGTCCTCACACCCCCTGGGATTCTTTCTGCACCCCTCCCTGGCCAAAACCCACTTCCAAGTCTGAGAACCGCAGCCTCCTCCAGCATTCGCCCACCAGCGCATTCTCTTCTCTTCCAGATGGCTTCCTGTCGTCTTCCGAGCAGCTGTGGCTCTCAGGCTGGCCCAAGCCTGTGGCCTGTGTGTCCTCCATCGTCAGGGACCCCTCTCAGGACGGGCTGCACCGAGGGTGGAACGGCGGGCTTCCAGGGACAATTCGAAGTCATGTCGATGCAGGTTTGGATATTACTGTTCCTGCGTATTCGCTGTGTCTCTCTGAACCTGTTTCCTTATTTGTCACCAGGGCATGAGAAACACCCACCTCAGCCTTGTTATAAGAATAAGTAACAGATTTTTTTTTTTTTTTTTTTTTTTTGAGAGGAGTCTCGCTCTGTCACCCAGGCTGGAGTGAGTGGTGCGATCTCGGCTCACTGCAACCTCCGCCTCCTGGGTTCAAGCAATTCTCCTGCCTCAGCCTCCTGAGTAGCTGGGACTACAGGCATGTGCCACCATGCCCAGCTGATTTTTTGTATCTTCAGTAGAGACTGGGTTTTACTATGTTGGCCAGGATGGTCCTGATCTCCTGATCTTGTGATCCGCCCACCTTGGCCTCCCAAAGTGCTGGGATTACAGGCGTGAGCCACTGAGCTCGGCCAATAACAGATTTAAAGTGGCTCATGCCTGGGATGCGTGGGCAAATGTTAGAGACATAGCAGGCAGCAGCCCCGTTCCTCCTCCCTCCTCTTCGCCTGTCCAGGGAAAGGCTCTCTCTCTGTTTTGGTTCGGAAGGCACGCTTCCTGGTCCCACAGATGCCCTCAATTATGCCCCATAACTCTGTGGTAAAGGCCCAGCTAGAGTCACACTCCTTGGGTGAAACCCAAAGCTGACACTTACTGTGTGATTTACAATCAGGGAAAAGAGACGGGGCTCCTATGAAAGTGAGATGAGATGATGAAGGTGCAAATAGCTCCCGGTGCATGCTGTGTTCTTAGTCAACGCGGTGGTGACCACGCTTGTCCACTCTCGGGATCCTCAGTGCCTCCTGCCATCAACCTCCTCTCTGCACCCCTACAGCCCCTGAAGCACTGGGGCTCCCTCCTCCTCCCTCCTCCCTCCCCCCCTACTCCCCCTTCTCCCTCCTCCCTCCTCCCTCCCCCCTCCTACCCCCTTTTCCCTCCTCCCTCCTTCCTCTACCCTCCTCCTCCTTCCTTTCCCCTCCTCCTCCTCCTTCCTCCCTCCCCCTCCTCCTCCCCCCTCCTCCTCCCCCTCCTCCTCCCCCCTCCTCCCTCCCCCTCCTCCTCCCCCCTCCTCCCCCTTTTCCCTCCTCCCTCCTCCCTCCCTCCTTCTCCTACCCCCTTCTCCCTCCTCCCTCCTTCCTCCTCCCTCCCAGTGGAGCCAAGCTCCATACAGAACCCTGTTCCCCGAGCCCCTCCTCCCTTCAGGCCCTGCCCCTCTGCTCCACCCGAGTCCTCCTGTGAGGGCTCACAGTGACCGTTTACTTCTCCCCATACAATGAATATGCTGAAACTTTCACCAACTGGACTTCCTACGGCCTTTTAGATAAGTGATAGTTCATCCTCCTTGAGGTCTCTCCTCCCTTGGCATGTGACTCCAACCAAGCTATATGCAATGTACACAGAACCACTTAGCATCTGTCAGTGGTTTCTCATTGCCTGTAGGATGACATTCACGAATGCTCACGATATGATTCCTGTTCCTTCGTCTGCACCCCACTCCCGACAATACCAAAAATCCTTGCAATTCCCCAGCCTCAACATCCTCTCCTAGAACTCCACGCATTTGTTCATAGCACACTCCCCACCTCCTCTGCTCTCAACCAGAAAACTGCTACTCATCCTTTAAGATTCAACTCCCTCCCAACTTTCTCAGAGAAGCCAGGCCTCCTGGAGCCATGCAGAGAGGGACTTTGGGAGGAAGATTCTATTAGGTTCTCACTGCTGTATCTGACCTGCATGGAACCAGCTCTGCCAGCAGCCCTGGTGTCTGTCAGCATGCACGGGTGGCACAAATCCTGGCACACATGCCGGTGAGGACAATAGCAAGCTGGGGCGCCACACTCACTCTCAGACTGAGGTCAGGATGTTTCCAGATCATTCTCTGTCTTTGAGAGCATTTCCCTGACCCTATTCCAGCACCCACACAAGCAGTTCCAGGGCCTGAGAAATCAGCTGAGTTCTGAGCTCTGCCACGATCCCATTCAGTTAAATGAAAGTGAAATGTGATCATTCCACAGAATTAAAGACTGGAAAGAGCATCTGATTTTGGAAGAACAATTTTTTAAAATGGATTTGTATGCATAACATCCATTGCAGTTGCTGATGGTGGAGTCAGTGACTAATAAAAATGTCATTTCCTGTGATTTTTATAAATTACAGTAAATATGCCAGTAATCACCCACATTAGCTGCTGAAATGCAAGCAGCCAGCTGGAATAGAGGCCAGGGGACCCCACTGAGGCCTCAAGAGGGAGACCCACAGGTGCAAACTGACACCAAGGAAAACAGTAGTTAATACACGCTAGAATTTGGAGAAGGGAAGAAGTGTTAAAATAAATGTATGTCAAGCAGACAAATTTGGGCTTCTCCATGAGGGTCTGTCACGTCAAACAGGAAATAGCTGTAAATTACATGTAAGAGTAAAAATCTTGTCATTTATAACCTTTAAGGCAATGGGCTCATTTAACCCATCAACTCACAGATCATAATCTCCAGGAGCCAGCCTGGGTATTTACTTCACTTTTAATGTGTGGAAGCTGGGGCAAGCCAGGCATGAGCTGCAAAAGGCTCCGCAGTGCCCTGTCGGCTCTTCAAGCCACGGGACGGGCCAGATTGAGAACTGCCTGAGGCTTGCAGGATGAACACGTCAAGAGAGGAAGCCCTTCCTGCTCCTGCAAAAATGAAGACATGCCTGAAAATGTCATGCCTTGGGTAGTCTCATGAATAAATCCAAATAAATCCCACCATTATTCTGTTTATTTGTTTAACTTATAAGCTATTTGAAGTCATTGGAGCTGAAAGCGTGTTTCAACACGCCAGGCACATTTAGAGTATCTTGTAATCATCTTGCTAACCGGGGCGCAGGCGAACGATGAGTGGAGTTCTTGTTTATTTCAGATACCTCAGTATACACTGCTCAGTTAAGAGACCACGACCCGAGACATTGTTTTAAAGGGGTGAAAAAGCCTCCACTCAAGTGGCCCAGGAGCGTGATCCAGGAAGATGAACACACAGAACCATCTTCTGCGTTACTGGAAAATTCAGTGGAAACTAGGTATTTATGAAAGAGATGCTTACTGCAGTTTGCATGCACTGAATAGGTATTTGTGGATTAATTCATCCAGGCTTGTGGGAGAGGTCCCAGGAGGATGGTAAGAGCAAAGAACAGCCACAGGCCAAGCTGACCATTTCCTTCCGTGAGAACAAGTCCCGCAGGCGGCGTTGAGCGCGTAGCTCACACTCACACATGCTTGGCCTCATGAGCCGCAAGGAAGAGCAAAGCTGGTTTCCAGAAAGACGTGAACTCACAGTTGCGCTTCTCGCCACCTCCCCTTGCTGCTCTCCCTGGTGTCTCTACAGCTCCCCACTCTCTCCTGCACCGGGGCCTGGTCAGTGCTTAACTCTGACAGGAGCAAGGAGTGCTGTCTGCTGCAACTCAGATGCCACTCATGAGGCATGCAGAAGTGAGCACACAGGGACACACATGCACACCTGCACGGGCATACACAGGCACACACACACACGCCTGCACAGGCATACAGGAACACACACAGGCACACACACACACACCTGCACAGGCACGCGGGGACACACAGGAACACACACGCACAGCTGCACAGGAACACAGGCACACAGAGGCACACACATGCACAACCACACAAGCACACAGGGACACACACAGGCACACAGGAACACACACACACACCTGCACAGGCACGCAGGGGCACACACATGCACAACCACACAGGCACACAGGGACACACACAGGCACACAGTAACACAGAAACACAGGAATACACACACACCCCTGAACAGGCACACAGTAACACATACAGAAACACAGGAACACATACGCACACCTGCACAGTCACACAGGAACACACACAGTTGCACAGGTACACAGGGACACACACACACACCTGCGCAGGCACACACAGGCACACACACACCTCTCACAGGTGTGCAGGAACACACAGAGGCACACACAGGAACACATGTACACGCCTGCATAGGCACACAGGGACACACAGAGGCACACAGACACACACACACCCCTGCACAGGCACACAGTAACACACACAGAAACACAGGAACACATATACACACCTGCACAGGCACACAGGGCACACACAGGCACATAGGAACACACACACACCTGCACAGGCACACACAGGCACACACACACCTCTCACAGGTGTGCAGGAACACACAGAGGCACACACAGGAACACATGTACATGCCTGCACAGGCACACAGGGACACAGAGAGGCACACAGACACACACACACACCTGCACAGGCACACAGTAACACACACAGAAACACAGGAACACACACACACACACCTGCACAGGCACACAGGGCACACACAGGCACACATAAGAACACACACACACCTGCACAGGCACACGCAGCCTCAGCAGGGCATGTTTAGAACTCCTGGGTCTGATGGCAGGTACCTTTCCCCCACATGCGTCCCACATGCTGCCAAGGCCCACTTCCTGGACAGTAACAATTGGTCTCCATGTCTGCCTGTCTGAACACAAGCTAACTTACAAGGAAACATGAAATTTAATTTTAAATTGAAGTTAAAAGTTTCAAATTAGGTCCACTTTAAATTATACCTAAACTATTAGATTGAATTTAAAACTTTTAACTTCGTTTTAAAATGTAAATTAATTAGGTTTAACCGGTTCCTTTAAAATTGCTGATCTCTCTCTGAACTTAATCCTATTTTCAAAATTATGGTCAGTTTTCTTACACTGGTAGAGTCCTCGGTGTGAGGAGGGAGAGGTATTTGAAGGTGAATATGGGAACATTTCCAGGTAAAGAGTTTAGGCATAGTTTAGATCACGTAGAGAAAAACCAGTCTCTCAGAGAGAGAAGCTGATTCTAAGAACCAAATTATTCTCATTAACCACATCCAACCTGCAGTACCAATACCAAACCCCAACCCAAACCAACCAGCCTAAATTGTTCACTTTACTTTGGCAGGCACCAAATATGCGTATGTGTATCAGATGAGGTGAACAATTCGATTTCTTTCTCTAATTTAGATAATTTCTGGGGGGAAAAAAAAACTAGCAATCTACATCTTTTGCCTCAATTGCTGGATTATAACTGATGAGATATTTATATTTTTAACTTTTCTTTCTCCTTTGGGTGAGGTGGCTGGAATGGATAAATGTTTCAATTCTACATTTTGAAACCGTGTATTTATGTTGCCCATTACTCACATGTGATTATTGACAATTTATTAATTTACAACAAAGTTAATTTCTATAGAACAATGGGTAATTTTGAAAATATTTTAGACAAAATGTTGCAAACTCATTATTCAAGGAACTAAAAAATGCATATTGTATTTCTTTGGTTCTATATAGATACCAATTTTAAATATTTTCATCATCTCTGGAATCTAAATACACCATTACCATCAGTGACAACTTAGAATTACAATTGGCAGAGGAGTTTTTTCTTTGATATCAGCTTGTAAAATAAATGGTATATTAGGTTTGTTGAAATAGAAAGAGTGTGTGTGTGTGTGTGTGTGTGTGTGTGTGTGGTGTGTGTGTAAGTAACCGACAGATAATTTCTTGTCCAGATGGTCTCAGGTATAAAAAAAATGGTTTGTGTCAAAGATCAGCTATTCTTCCCTAATACCTTTTGATGTAGGGTTTATAAATTATAGCCTCAAACTTCTGCATAACTCTTTTTATTCTAAAAACCTCTTGTCCTTATAATGAGTGGTTCATGCTGGTTTGCAGTGCCTATTCAACAGAAAATTTCTGTTGCTTTGCCTCCCGCTCCCATTGACTAAAAAAATCTACAAATGAAAATTCTAGATCAGTTTCCCATTTGGTACCAAAGCTGAAAATGAGTCCCCTCAACAACAACAACAACAACAAAAAGTTAGTATCACTGAATGGGGTTTAGTTAATCTTATAAATCGTTAAATAAGCATGCCCACTTGCAGCAAAATACAGTGTCACATTTGTACTTGTTCTTGGGAGACTTTAGAAGGCAGTTACTGTCATGCAGAAAGGTCTCCACCACTGGCCCCGCAGCCGGGTCACGTGGTATTTCTGGTCTGCATCTTCCTGTGTCCTTTGTCAGGGCCAGAAGTCCTGGAGAGCGTTGAGAGCCAACTGTAAACATGAAGTCAGGTGGAGGTGATGTGGGCATAGTGGAGGGGAGAGAAACTGTTTAGATTTTTAAAAATTTTTAAATGATTGGGATTCCAGACAGGAAAAGCAATGATGTCGGCGCTACGCTGGAACACCTCTTCTTACCACAAGCACGCTGGCTGTGGAACTCACAGAGACTGTGCAGACATACATGCACTGAATGTCTACATTCTTTTTTTTTTCTTCTCCCTGATAGTCATGCCATTTAAGGGTTGAGGTTGATATTGCTTCACCTTCAGCCCTCTGCTCTCTACCTCATCTCATTCTTTCTGGGACTATCCTATATGCACGATTTAAAGGGAATTACCTATTACTTCAATTATTTGTTTCTTATCAACTGATGTTAAACTACAAGGATTTGCATTGAAAAGACACAAAGAAAGAGCAAGTCATGGCACATCGCCAAATGAAAGAGTAATGTTCTGGTGAATTTAGCCTAAATAATTTACTGCTATATAAAAGTGGAAAAGTGGAAGGTGAACCCTTTGACCAATAAATCTCTCCTGCCCATGAAACCCTTATCTGGTCTCCTGCAATGTATTCCACACGAGGAAGCCACCATCTCGGGCTCCGGCTTGTGATTTGTAAACCTTGATCTTCTGCACTCCGTGTCCTAAATATGGATAATTAGCATCAGTTTATCACGCCTCTGCATATTTTCTCTTCTCTCCAAACATGCATGCTTCTGTTGGCTGCCATTCTGCTACAGAAGATTATGGAGACAGATTGCAGAGAATGAATGTGCTAAACGAGATTAGGAAGGAATAGAAATAGCGACTTCGCCAATAAATTCCTCGTGAGAGCCTTATCATGCAATTACACGTTGACTTGCTTCACACTCTCCCAGCCTCTTAATCCAACACCCCCACCAGGAACGAAATTTCACTAATTTCTGAATTACTGCATATCCTCCTGACTTGTTACTGAGAATGGTTGGAAGGAGAAACGTTGCTGAAAACAACATGTCAAACTTTATCATAAAAAGTAAACTTTAACTGTCAAAGCAGGCGGTATGAATTTGGAATGTTTAAAGCATTTTAGCGTCGACAAAAGGATTGGCATAGACAGAAATTCGACTTTTCTTTGAGATTCACCAATTCTGCCATTGTATCACCTTTGGGGATTCAGAACTGGCTGAAGGGGGGTGGGGAGGGCGGATTTCCTTGCTCTTAAACAAGACTATCTGATGTGTTTAAAAACAGGACAAAGCAAGCATCCACTGATTTTTCTGACTTCTTATTATTACTGATAACAGTCACGATGCCCCTGGGTAATTCTGGGCAAATCACTTGACCTCGTAAGCGCCACCTCCTCCTGGCTTAGAGGCACCGCTTCACCTCTACAGCCCCTCCTGGCGCCAGCGTGCTGCGGCATCTCACACACATTAATGTATAGAAATAGAAGTCTTGCCTGTTCCAGGTCTCCAAGAACGCCGTAACAGGACATCTACAGGGGGAGCTCTCTTCTTGCTCTTCTTCGCCTGTTAATGGGATTCTCCCGGGGCTTTATAATAAGTTCGGTATTTAAAGAGGCCCATTAAACCTTTCGATCCACCAGGGGACTATTTATAGCACAGAGCAGCAGTCAGGCATTGTGGTGCCCCTACAAAGGCAAGGTTCTGCAGCAGGAGAAAGAACCTGGAGGACTGAACGTGTGTTTACCAGAAGGAATGCAAATGTAGCTCGGATATTAAAACTTGTGCTTCATATTTGTGCTTGCAGAAAAGGAAAAGAGTCCAAATTCATGGTGGCAAGAATTCACTAGCAAAAGAAATGCACAGCGATTGTAAAGAGAGTTGTACACGTGGATCGCATGTCGTCTTCACTTTCTTTCCCACAAGTAATGCCTGTGCGGGTTCACTGACGAGAGGGCCCTATGAGCCCTCCAGAGAAAAGATTCCATATTTCCCTTCCAGAAGACCTGCTTGCAGGCCTTGCGTTTTGAGAGGTAAAGCTGGACAGCATTCATTGATGAATAGGTGCTGAGTGTCTCCTCTGCACGCACTGCCAGGCACAGTTCCAGGACCACGGGGTGAAACAGCAGCAGGAAGGAGCCCTGCCCTGGAGGAGCTGGCTTGCTTTTCTTCTGCAAACTGGATGCTTTCTACTGGCTGCCAAGTAGCTCCATTTTTGGAGAGAAAGCCAGCCTGGAACCCTGATTTACCTTGATTGGGAAGGCAGGTCCCAAGGGCCTGGGGGACAGCCCCGGGAGGCACTGATCTGAAGGGCTAGACCCTTGGTAAGAAATGACAGCGGAAGAACGCCTGTCTTCCAGAACCTGCCACGCAGGCTGCAGTGGGGTGGGGCGGGGGGGGGGGGTGTCCCCAGCTGCAGGCACCTCTACTCCTACACTATCTGCAAGAAGGCACACACACACACCCACACACACACACCCTGGGTGTCAGAGAAGTCCTCCCTTGCCTGCACCTCCTCTTTCCCAAGCCCCTGAAATCCAAAGGTGCGTTTCGGAGGCGCGGGCCCTGCTGAGTGAATGCGGGGATGGGAGTCCGTGGAGGCCCAGGGCTGGTTTGGTGTTTTTGTTTCCTGTTAAGAGTACTGTGGAGGCTTTGCAGTGCTAGTTTTGGGAAATCTTAGGTTTGGCTTCATCTAACTCCTCTACTGGGGCAAGGAGCGCAGCCAAGACTGTTTAGACCTCCCCAGGCCACGGGCGGGTGCGCGGCAGACCAGGGGCTGGCAGCCCAGCTCAGCACCTGCAGGCAGGTGGGAGGACCGCGCGTTTGGCGCGAAGACCATCCCCCCCCCGGGCAGGGGACAGAAAATGTGAAATCAGATGGGGAGTTATTAATAACTGTCCTCCCCTCCTCTCTGCCGTGTTTCCTGAATCCGTGTGCTCTGCTGGAGGGGGGCGAGGGCAGCGGCGCGGGGAGGAGGAGGGGGCCGTTTGCCATTAATCTGGGAACAAGCGGCTAACCTCGGTGACTGGTATTTTCGCTTTTCTTTTCTCACTTTTCTCAGTGTGGGGAAAGCAGTCAAGCCCGCGCGGAGCGATTGTGAGGGGCTCTGCTGGAATTTGGCAGCGCGGAGGCTTGGAGAGCAGCCCCATGCTGGCTCCCATTCAGCCGGCCCGTTTTCCTCGAGCTTTGGAAGTTTCACTCAGCCGTGCACTCAATGGCTTCACAAAGCTGATTACAAGCTTCAGCGCATTCCTGAAGGAGCCAAAAGCGACGCAGGTGCAAACGAGCCGAGGGAGCCCCTTATCCCGGTGACAGAATGGGACAAGCTGGGAAAGGCTTGGACCACACAAATCCAAGGCTCACCAGGCAGCAGAAAGCCTGCCTTGGGAACCGGGGGTCATTATCCGCCCTATTCAGCGGGGCCTGGGGACCCTGGGGGCCCAGCGAGGCCAGCACGGGCGGGAGCACCTCCGCCAGCGCGCGCCGCCGACGGGGGCGGGGAGGGGGGGGTGCCCCGCTGGGCGCTGCGGCCAGGCCAAGGCTCCGAGCGCTGGGCCGTGCGTTTGCACCGCCTGCGTCCGTGAAACCCGTTTTCGGGCAGGCAGATGTCAACCCTAGTGGGGACACAGGTAAAGGAGCGTGCCAAGAGGCCACGCGGCGCGTGGGCAGTGCGCAACTTCTGTCGGGGTCCAGGCCGCACGGCCACGTCTCAGCCGGGGTCCCCAGGCCAGCGACACCCAGCTCCGCGGTCGCTCTGCTGCCTTTCTCCGAAGCCCACCTTTCCCGATGATCCCCTCTCCCGCGTGGCAGCTCAGGCCCGCGGAGAGCGACCCCGGGTGGGACAGTGGCCGCACGCGTGGAGTGGGGATGGCGGGTCATGCAGCCATGGTCTAAGAGCGCTCGACGTGGTCGAGGACGCTTTCGCTGCGATTTGATTCCGCGGCGAGGGCGAAGGGCAGTTTCCTTCCGACTGATTCACCAAGTCTCCTCGCACTCAAGAACCGCAAAGTTGGGACTGCGGGCGCCAGAAAGAAACGGGCGGCGTCTCGCGGAGCGCGCGGGGGAAGAGGGACTTCGGGAGCGAGACTCGGGGCATGGGGGCGGTGCAGCGGGGAGGGGAGCGCAGTGGAGGGGAGAGTGGGGGGCGGGGGGCGGGGGGCGCTAGGGGCGGGGAGCGCTGGGAGGAGCTGCAGCTCCAGTGTCCCGGAAGGCCACCGCGTCCCAGTCGGGAGCCCCGCGCTGCGTCTAGGAGGGCGCAACACGCAGACCCCGCAGGGGCCGGAGTTCGGAGCACCCTCGTGTGTGCCCCCTCTCCCCGCGCCCTGCCCCGCAGCGCGCCGCCAAGGCCTCGGCCCTGCCTGCCGTGCTCCGGGCCTGGTTGTTCCCGGGGGTCCCGCGGGCAGGGCGCGGGCCGGCAGGACGCGCGCGCCGACGTTCTTTTGTCTGATAACTAATTTGAGTTAATGCGATCTTTATGTAAAGCTAACAGCGGATAATTGTCTATTTTCTCGCCAACAGTCTCCATCACAATCACTTATCTGGAAACCTGCGGTTGGATTAATCGTTATATTCCCGAGATGAGCGTCGCTGAAATCCTCAGCGAACGCGGGTGGGGACCTGGAGACGCCTCCCGGGCGCTGGTGGGGCGGGTGCCGGCCAGCTCCGCTTCAGCCTGGGACGCGGTGTGCCCAGGTGTTGGTGCCCCCGGGAGAGGGCTTGACTCTCTTTTTGCTGAAGTAGGGGTGCGGGGGTACAGGAGGCGGAGGGAGGAGGAGGGGCGAGGGAAGAGAGGCCTGTGGGGCCGCGGCGCAGCCTGGGTGGAGCGCGGCCTCGGGAGGCCCTGGGCGCATCGCGGCAGGGCCCCGGGCTCCAGGAGCGGGAGGACCCATCAGTGCCGGAGCGCAGTGTTTCGCTTGGGGGAACGTTGCCCTCAGACCTTCGCCTCCCCGCTGCCCCGTGGTCTCGGTTCCACTGGTTTCGCCCATCGTCCCATCCACCTTTCCCACTTGAGGTCCCACCCCGCCCCAGGAGCCCCTCCTTAAGGATCCAGGTCTCTGAACATCATTGGCAACAGCTGCACTCTCCACAACTGAAATCTCCGAGAGAAGAGTCCCGGTTCTAGGGGTAAAGATGGTGGCGGCTGGTGCGTCAACTCTCTAGGGAAGAGGAACTTGCATTGCAAAGACTTGTCTTTCTAAGCTGAAGTCAAAACAGGGGCGTCAAGCGCGCTGCGTTTGGCGGCGGTGGAGGGGCTGTGCGCCCGCGCCGTCCCAGCCGGAGCTGCTGTGGCTGGTGATTGGAGGCTTCACGTCCCGGCCTCCGGCGCTTCTGCAGCTGGGATTTGCCGGCCAAGGGCCGCAGTTGCAACTTTTCAAAAGGGTGTTTCTGGAAAATAACAAAAATCTGGTGACAGTTTTTGGCTACAGAGAATGAAACTGCTTCCCTTTGGCAATGGAACTTGAAACTTCCAAGAGTGAAAAAATGCAACGAAATAAAGTGCCATAAGAGCACTGGATTTTCCAGATAACCCCAAATTACTCCCAAAATGAGGCTTTGTAGATTCTTGTTAAAAGTCTCGAATTTCCTCCTGCAACATCTGATGAGGTCTTTAAGAGCAAACAAGTAAACTTCACCGCGAGAATCAACAAACGCAAGCTCTGGCCAAGGCTCCCTACGCCGTTTTCATCTCCTCAGGGTTGGGGATGTCCCGCCCCATGGCTCACCTGGCTCTTGTCACCTCGGTCATCTTGAAGTGACCGTGAACAATGCTGCTCCCCGCCGCAGAGCCGCTGGTCACTCAGGCAGAACGGGGTATGCAAATGGTTTGAAGAGGCCGAGGCCCTAACACTGCGCCCATTGTCCCGGGCCTCAAAGCACCGAGCAGCTGCGCAGACTTTCTGTGCTGGGACCCTCGGCCGCCACGCTCATGTCATCATTGCCAAACATCAGCTTTGGAGAACTATGCCACCTGAATTCATTAGCAGCCTTCCTTTCGCCGCGACAAGTTTCAAAGTCCAGACCCCCTCCAACGTTGGTAGGGGTGGGAGAAGGAGCAGGGGCCCGGGAAGGGGTTCTTTCAAAGTGGGGCCGCAGGAAAGGGGGGGGTCCCTGGTCTCCTCCTTCTGGTGGGTCCTGCAGCTTTAAAAGCCTTCCTTGGGGTTCTGAGCGCGAATGTCTGCCTCGAACGACCCTGAGATTTGGACATATTCCCGTTTTCTCTCAAGTGTTGCTTTTATGTTGCCAGTTTAACGTCACTGAAAGAGGCCCACAGAGCAAGTCGAGTGACTTTCACAGAGACATCATCTTCTGTTTTAAAGGCAGAGGCAGTGATCCTTTCTGAATCGTCCTTTAGGGTGAACTCACAATATGCATGTCAGAGAAGCTGCGCGCCCTCCAGCAAACCAGTTAAAACGCCAGGCCGCGCTCCTCGCTCCTCGGACTGCAGGACTGCCAGCAGCTCACGGGCTTCCAGTGCCCGCAGCAAGGCGAGGGGAGGCGCGTCTCCGTGACCCGACGACCTGCGTGCACGCCCGCTCTCCACGCCGGTCCCCTGCCCGCACCTGCCCAAGTGGCCTGGTCTCTCCAGAACCCGGAGGGTGGGGAAGGGTGCTCCTGATGCTCCGGGAGGGTGCAGGGCGGGCCGGCGGGGAAGGGCGCTAGAACCCAGGAGCACAAACCACCGTTAGGGCCTGAGGGACCCAGCGGTGGGTGGGGTCAGTTTCTCAGACGTGTGGGAGGCCGCAGGCGGGGTCAACTAAGGCAGTTTCCCTCCCCCAAAGGACACTCGTTCTCCTCCGACCAGGATCTCCAGTAACGTGTCCTTCCGCTTCCCCACAGGACTCCAAGCTGCTTTTCCCTCTCTGCAGCTTCCGAGGCTGGGAAAACTTCCTAGGAGAAAGCAAGAGAAAGCCGCCAGCCAGGGCCGAGGACTAAACGTTGGGGTCGAGGGGCGCAGAGGAGCGGGTTCACCCCTGCGCACCCCAAGGCCTCTCCAGCACCCGCGAGGTCGTCCGTGAGCGCCCAGGCCCCCGAAATGCCTGCCCTGCTCCTGACAAACGGAGGGGGTAGGATGTGGAGGGGTAGCGCAACCAGTTACGCTTTTGTAAACACAAGAATAGAAAAATAAATGGAGGAAATCTATCTTTTGGGTGTGTCATTTTTGGTGGGGGGGCGGGCTTGAAGGTGGAGTCATCTAGATCCAGGAAAAGCTACAGCGCCATGTGGGAAGTGGGGTTTGGGGGCAGGCTCCTGGTAAATGCGGATCCCTTTGACCTGGAACACCATCTCGTTTTCTCCCTGGACAATTGTATGATGTGGCCCGAAGGGTCTAGAAGGTCTCAGATCAGACCCTGCAGAAGCTCCTCCCCAGGGTTTCTCATCTGTGCCAGCCCCTGGCTGGGCCTGGGCAGCCTTGCCCTCGTCCTCTGGCCCCAGTTCCTGCCACCCTTCCCACCGCCCCACGTGCAGGCGAGGCTGAGGCTGCCGAAGGCTGGGGACAGGGCTGCGGGCCAGAGGCGGCTTCGGGAGACGTGGCCGTGGGAGGGAGAGTGCCAGGAAGTTGCCAAGAGAGGGAGTTTTTGCCGGTGTGGGTCACTGATGTCCCCGCGGGGGTGGGGGACAGTACCTGGCTGCCTGCAGCTCTTCCGATCTGTCTGCTGAGGGGATGCGGAGGCCATCGCTGGGGGCGGAGCCAAGGGCCCGCAGAAGCTCTGGGCACCGGCTGGGCCTCTCCCTGCCCAAAGGGCTCCACAGGGTGCCCAGGGGTTCTGGCCAGCGCCTGGTAACCCGTGACCCTCGGCTTGCTGTGGCCTCCCTCCCACACACTGACTTACACACTTGTCACATACACACATCGCCACACCCCCACCCATCCACACACCCACACATCTACACACCCCCACACACATCCACACACCCACACGCATCCCACACCCACACACATCCACACACCCACACACATCCCACACACCCACACACATCCACACACCCCCACACACATCCACACACCCACACACATCCACACACCCACACACTCACATCCCCCCCACACACATCCACACACCCCCACACTCATCCCACACACTCACACATCCACACACCCCCACACACATCCCACGCACTCACACACCCCACACTCACATCCCACACCCTCACACACATCCCCATACCCTCACATCCCCACACCCACACACACTGCCACACCGTCACACACATCCCACACAGACACATCCCCACACTCACACATATCCCCACACCCTCACACACACCCCACACACTCACAAACATCCCCACACCTACACACATCCACACACCCACACATCACCACACTCCCACACATCCTACACACTCAGACACATCCCCACACCCTCACATATTCACACACCTTCACACATCCACACACACCACATGCACTCACACAGCCCCATACTCACACCCCACACTCACATCCCACACCCTCACACATATCCCCACGCCCTCACACATTGCCACACCCCCACACACATCCCACACAGACACATCTCCACACTCACACACATCCCCACATTCACACACACATCCCCACACACCCTCACACATCCCCACAAACACACATCCTACGCCTTTACACGTCCCCACACACTCACACATCCCCACATACATTCCCCACACACATCCCACACCCACACATCCCCCCACACACATCCCACACACTCACGCACATCCCACACACAGACATCCCACACCCCCACATCCCACACACTCACATCCCACACCCACACATCACCACACCTTCCCACACATCCAACATACTCACATACACACACCACACTCATATCCTACACACCCTCAGACACATCCCACACCCACACATCCCACTGACACATCCCACACACACACACATCCCACACACCCTCACACACATCCCACACCCACACATCCCACTGACACATCCCACACACACACACATCCCACACACCCTCACACACATCCCACACCCACACATCCCAATCACACACATCCCACACACTCATACACATCCCACACCCAGACATCCCACACACACACACCCCACACACTCACATACATCCACACACTCACATCCCACACACTCACACACATCACACAGACATCCCACACACACATCACACACACACACATCCCACACACCCTCACACACATCCCCGCACACACACACCCCACACACACTCACACACATCCACACACACACACATCCCACACACACGAATTCCCGGAATCAATATTCCCCACATACGTGCAGGTCACGCACTCTTTCTTACACAGGATTCACAGATTCAGCAAACTCACAGGCACTCACTCTTACACACGACACAGTTGCACACTTGCATTCCCCACACACACACGCACTGCCATCCCCTTGCGTCTCCACAGAGTCGAGGGCCGGTTGAACACTGAGGTGGCTCTTCGTGGCTGGGCGGGACTTCTCATGGGAGGGAAAGTCACACAGGGGGCAGGTTACTGGCTCAGGGACACACACAGGCCCGGTGAGCTGATCCTTATAGAAATTCAACAGCTGCAGCCAAACACGGAGAACGAGGCCACGTCACCTCTCGGCTTCAGCAATTCCTTTCCTCCTGTGTTTTCGGAGCGGGCTCCTCCTGCCTGAGCCTCCCGCGGTGCGGTGGGTTCTCAGCGCTCCCAGGTTCAGGCTCCTCGGCTGCCCCTGGACTTGTGTCCTCGGGGGTGGTGGGCGCTGGCCCGCAGGGGAGCAGGGCCGCCTGCCGCTCGGCCTGCAGCTCGGTGTGAAACGCGCACGGGGTTCTCCAGGCGCAGTACTCAAAAGCAGGTGAAACGCCTCAGGAATCACTTAAAATATTGACCACAGGTTGGAATGATTGTATTTTAGATACCTTAGGTTAAATAGAATACATTATTGAAATATCTCCTTCGTTTTGCTTTTTAAAACTGTAGCTCCCGGGAACTTTGCGATTACCTGCGTGGCTATGTGTGCTTTATCCTTCTGCTGGGCAGCAGGAGACCTTCTCAGGGATCTTCAGAAACTACAAAGGAAAAGCAAAGATGGTGGAGACGGCTGAGCAGGTGGCCTGGAGGGACGCCCGCACAGAGTCCTCCGTTCTGAAGTTGCTGTTGTACCACAGTCTGTTCCCAAAGCGTCTTTCCTTTCATGAGAATGCATGGCAGGCGGTGGGGGGGGGGGGGGGGGGGCGGGCTGGGCGAGTAAGGACATCACACTTGGTGTTTTACTTCTCGATTCATTTTCTTTTCATTTTAACTTTAGTTCCATCTAATTACTATATTGTGATCTCAGTCAGCAATCTTGTGGGAACTCTCCAGCAACTTCTGAAGCATCTTGCTCCAAGTGTTGGATAATGAGGAGACGTGAGTGACCAAGGTGACTGCAGAACGTCAGTGCAGCTCGAAAGCTTTCCTGTTATTTTCAAATCTCGGGTCAGCAGTTTGGTACTTTTTTGCTTTAATTTTCCCCCACACGCGTTTCACTGCCACCACGAACCATCACCACAACCCAAAACACAGCAAACAAACGGAAAGCTTCGGGAGGAATTTACATCTGGGAAAATGCTTCTATTCATCAAGAGTGGGATTCCCTTTTATTCCCACAATCGACTCACAGCTTCAAACATCCATGGAGTCATACTTTGGTCATGGAAGTTGCAAGAAACCATATTTGCCAACTTTTTATTTTAAAGAAGGTATTTAAAAATATTTTACATGTTAGCCACAGATTTCTAGAAGTGAACTTATAAAAATTAGAAACGATATTTTGCCTGTTGATAACAGCAAGTGAAAAGAGATTGCTCCAAGAATGTTGTTTTCAATAAATTCAGTGTAACGGCAACACAAAAATTCTGCCTGCAGGCTGCATAGACACACGTTATACTTTTACATATTTATCCTGAGGGTTGCATAATTAATTTTAAAAATGCAATAAGAATGTGAGGTCACGTGTACTTTGCCAATAATGGAAGTGTCTCATAGAGAATTTTGAATAAAATTAAGATTTTTTTTATTATAAAAGGAACTGTCCTATTGTTCGTTATTAGTATGTTGTTCACTTACTGTTCTACTTTTGGCTAAATTAAATTTCACTAAAGGAAAAAGAAAATGTTGTGAAATACCGAGGTTAAACAAGGCTTTGTGGGTAACATAATTGAAAGGGTTAATTTTGGTATTAACTCTTTGGGGAATATCACTCTTGTTATTTAAGTAAGCAACTAATAGAATTATTTTATTCCTTCATCAAACTACCTGATTTAAAAAAAACAAAAAAACACCTGCCAAAGGAAAAACTAAAAACTTAGCACATTCCTGTTAAGGAGCAATCAGCATCCCGTTGGAAACTCCAGCACTCAGACTCTGGATGTTTAAGACGGTCTGTTCATTTAGGATATGTATTACACTGCTTCATTTGCATTGTCACCTTATAAAGCCAGAGAGACTCTCATTTGCTTTCTGTTTTTCTTCTTTTCCCTAAGGACTACAATGGTTATATACTTTCAAATATTCACAGACAAGATATTCTGGATAAATAATCTAAGATTAAATAAATTAGGTCAACGTTCATACAGGGCCAGTGTGATATGTCCCTTGTGCTGAAATTGTCTGGTGTCAGCTACATTGATTGAAAAAGCACTACAGACCTAAAGGAAAAAAAAAACACAACTCTTATTACAAGATGTCTCAAAAGCAGATAAGAAAGCAACGAAGTCTTCTGGTAAATGAGGGACCTTATCTAGATTTTAATATGGCAGGAGGCAAATTATAAATGTTTCTGCAAGTTAGACAACTTGCATGGGAAAACAGACGTTCCTGAAGTTCCCATAATCCTCAGCCAGTCATAGAGTTTGCACATCATCTGCTGCTGGTGGGTTCTCTGTGCTTTTCCTCAAGATACATTCCATAAGATTCAGGTCACACTGGCTGGGCTGTTTGACTCACTCTAGGGTGGAGATAGCTCAGGAGAAGGACACCTGAGTGTAGTTGTCGAAGAGCTACTTACTGCTTATCTACATGTTGTTCGTATCTCCTTCACACATTGTTTCTCTCTTTCTGAAAATGGCTGTTAATATAACAAAGTCCTCATACAAGACTAAAATGTCAAGGGTTGGAAAAAAGGGTTCTTGAGGCTTTCACACGGAGAC